GTGTGTGTGTGTGTGTGTGTGTGTGTGTGTGTGTGTGTGTGTGTGTGCGCGCGCTCGCGTATGTGTGTAATGTACTTACTGTATCTGCCTGTCGACCTCTTTGCAATTTTTCTTTACTAACACTGGGAGGGAACTGAATCAGCGCTGTGATTGGCTGATGGCTGTCCCAACGAAGCATCTCTGTTGGCATGTCAAGCTCCTATTTATGGATCAGAGTAGAGTAGTCTAGCTTTAAAAAGACCTAAATATGAATAAAGGGTTGTACCTGATGTCTAAAATACCAGGGGAGAATGCATGTGTGACAGGATGTGTGAGTGACAGCTCCTCCAGCTCCTCTCATCCAATGGGAGACCCCGCTTAAGCCCTCCTATCAGAACCCTGTGCATGTCCTGAAGTCCACCCGTCCCCAGTATACCTATCCAAACTTGGACTGTTATTTTCTGTAAAAATTTGTACTTTTGAACAAAACTATTATCAAAGTCACTAAATATATATCTAATGTTAGGTACGTTTTAATGTTAGCAATAACATAAATACATCAGTAAAGGAATATATTTGATATTTAAATGCAGTGAAAATATAACGTGATACAACAACAATGATGATGGATAGAGGTTGTGTTTTAAAAGCAATATTATTCTGAGTGTAAACTAAAAATGAGTGCCATAAATCTTTTTTTCTTGTGTTCGTTCTGTTTGTTTGACTTTGTTTTCCGGTCCTCTGCCTCATCGTTGTTTGTTCCGGTCACTAGTACTGTAAGTGTTGAAGGCTTCTGTAGCTTCCCAGTATGTTTCTGTGTATCATGAATGCTGACTTGGTTAAGCTATAGCAACAGAAATAAAGACACCCTGCTGCTTCTGTCCACATTGAGCTTTTATTGAGTCTCAGCATGCACCATCCGCTGTCTGGTCCAGGCCGGGATACAACACATTATGGGGTCCAGAGTCTGACTTTGCATTGCAGTAGTTCCAGCACTTCTATACAAAGTGATGATTGTTCATTGCTTCAGATGATTGTCTGTGGAAGCTCCACAATGGAAAGGGGAAAAATGCAGATGAAAAGTTGATGAATGACAACAACAAAAACACTCATGGCAAGTCAGAAAAGATGAGATACCGTGTCAACATAATGAGTGATAATGTATAATAATATTAATATATGTATAACTAGTTTTGTTGACCACGAGTTTCCAGAGGTAATCTAGGAAGTGACATTCTTTAATCACTGATAGCGGTCTCATGCCGCCCCCTAGTGTCCTTTCTGTGTACCTACAGAGCAACTGAAGATCATCATACTGAAAGTATTTGTACTGAATTAAACATTGCACAAACATCTAGTTTACTCACTGTCACAACTCCAAATAGTCACTGCTTTGGGCCTAAATCCTGAATTGTTCTACAAATCCAAGTCAGGTGACGGCTGGCTCACGTTACCACAGTTTCACAACCAGATAGTAGTACTACGGTGGCCCTCAGGTGACGTAAAAACGTGAAAGTCTCTCTCTAGAACCAGTTGTTTGTCCGTTCTGGGCTACTGTAGAAAACCTGGCAGTGCAACATATCGGACTCCGTAAAAAATGAATTTATTTACCAATCAAAGACAACAGCCACATTTTAGACAGCGTCCTCAATATTAGTGGCCAAACAGCATGAAACACATAATTTGAACAAATGTCCATTGGGGGGGCCACGGTTATTAGTACTGACACATATCCTCAAGAGGGCTTTGGTATTTCAGATGTTCCTGGTAGAATACAACATGATTATGATTTTTCATAATTTGTATGTTGATTGTTGCAGCAGAACTATTTTTTTACAGAAAAAAAGTGATGTAATCGATCAATATATTGACTCACTCCAAATAGATATATAGAATTATCCGACCAAAGTCGTAAGAATGCCAGCTTGGAGATTGAAACATTGAGGAGATGCCCGTCACTGACACTAGTGGTGAGTTTATGTATTTGCTGGCAGACAAACATAGATGATGCAAACATGGTGACTAGCTAACTAGCTAGTTAATTACTAGCACAGGAGCTAACGTGATAACCGAGGAAACACTAGTGTACGCTGTGCGAAAGTCTTCTCGGCACCAGTAAACAATTAAGAGGCGTGACAAACAGCTGGAGTAATCTCAAACCACGGCAGGCACAAATATAACTCTTCATTTTGTTTCATATGTGCAGCGCGTCGTTCCTTTACGACGTACACCTGCTTTTACTCATGTTTTTATATGGAATGTGTATGTAATATCCATATGTCACTATTTATTTGTATGGTGCTTTTCATAGTGTGTGTCAAATAAAAAAATGCTTGACATCCAGTCAAGAACAACACATTTATAGCTGTGTTTATTAGTTGCATATGAATGTGTATTAATGTAGGAACAATGCTTTATAAATGATGAATTAAGTATTTATTTACTGACACCTAACTAATGCTTCAGCGCGTGCGTTTGTTATAGTGTTTCTCAGCCCAACTAAGAGCGTCTTTGTCTTCTTTGTTGGTTCTCAGAGAAAAGCGGACCGGATAGAGAGCTGGACCTGAAAAACAATCCTGTCTATATACAGCTGGAAAATGCAACGGTCAAATGACAATGTATGCCATAAAAATGTCATTGAGAAATGTCAATGTAGTATGGCAAAAAAAGAGTGATAGCATATCATAACATTGTCATGCCATAGTATGCAATACATAATATACTACGTCGTAAAAAATGGCATACTATGCCATAAAAAGTAATGAAAAATGACGTGTAGTATTTCATAAGTGTCGTAAATTATTTATTTATCTATACATGAATTTATTTATTTCCATATTTATTTCAGCATTTAATTATTCTTTTATTTTTTATTTCTGTTTTAAACATTTATTTAAGCATTTATTTATTTATTCCTGTATTTATTCATACATTTATTAATGCATTTATTTTCTCTTAAGTCACATTCTGTCCTCCTCAGTGGTAACAGTTGATATGGAACCAAACCGGAAACTGGTATTTAAAAACTATGGCCGACGCATGGATTTTTAGGAGAACCGGAAGTCAGCGGACTACAATTAACCATAGGCCTAGTTTAATGTTACACTTGTATTAATTTATATAAGCAGATGTAAAAAATAAAAAAATACTTTTTCTTTTTTGTGTTTCAAAATTACACATGATCCCCGCACTTACGAGTCTTTTTAATGAAGCTGATTCTGATTCTGATTATTTTTTCTCCCCTCTGTCTAAAAACAAGACAATAAATGCCTGTCTGTCTCTCTTGACGCTCAGCTTGTGTGAGGAAAAATGACAAAAGGTCCGACAAGAAAACAGTATGATATAAGCGCATGGACCATAATAGCGTTGTATTAGCAAGCTGGCAGGCTATGAAGCAGCTTTACAAACAAGGGGCAGGGGTCAAGTAGCTGCGTTTAGGAAACGAGCTATAAAGAAGACATTTATTTTGAAGGCAGTGACAGGAAGTCCCAGAGTTAAACTTTTTTTTCTGTGCGTGAAATTCCTCAAGTTAGTTTCTTTTGTTTGCATGTCTGGAGGAAGAGCGAGTGGATATCTGGCATTTTAATAGTAAAAGCGTAAAGTAGCTAAGACACAGTGTAAGTAAGTACGCAGACGGACACAGAAAGTATCTGAAGGGCTCTCGTGGACTTATTGTCCTCTTCTTCTCTCTCTGGTGAGAAAGAGGGCAGAGGGAGTGAAAGTCCTGATGGGAAGGAAAGGAAGGGGGAAGATAACGAGGAGGAGCTGAGGAAGGAGCGGCGGTTATGTGGCAAAACTCTCAACTACTCTCACAACGAGCTGAAGAGTTATGTTTTATTTCAGGAGAAAGTGGTAAGTTACTTTATTTTGGACAACTAATGACAGTTTGGTGTGATACTAAAGTTCCAGACTGAGAATTCAGCTCACACACACGCTGGCTCGTCTAACTTCGGTTTGAGGCCGTTGACTGAGTTTAAAACTACTGCGGGCACGAGTCCAAGTACCCCAACCTCCACAGTAGCAGGAAGTCTCTCCTGTTCTCTAACTATTTAATTCATTCATGTAACGGTTCTGTTCAGGGCTGGACCAAAACAATACTCTGAAACCTTTATGAATATTTTTTAAGCTGTGTTTTTCTTTTTACAAAATAAGTCAAATATTAAACAATCTTTTCTCCTAAAACGTTATCTTTAAACGTATCTTTACCTCTTTAAATAATGACTCAACCTTGATTTGAATCAGGGACTTCATGATCAAATCATGTGAAAGCAGCATAATAAATGTGAGCAGACATTCAGCTTTCTGTACCTGGAGTTATTCATATTCTGTATATGGATCAGGGCTGCATGATATGAGGAAAATATGTGATAACCTGAGTATCGCGATGACGATATTCAACGCAATAAATAAACCAAAGTTAATAAAGTGAACTCAGCTCTGCCTTTCAGTGTACTGCTAAAACAAATTGCTTTTATTCAACAAATTGAACATTGAAGTTTTCACAAAAGGCACCAAAAGATAATAATGTATTGTTGAAGTCTTCTGCCATACTCTCTTCTAACAAACTCAAAAAAATCCCTGAGTGTAATATCACTTTCTTTCAAAAGTTGACATGGCAATGCCGATTAAATATATAATCGCATATAAATATATTTTCTTTAACGGTGGCCACAGTCCTGATTTTAGGCATCATCACAATCTTACAACGTTTCCACTGTAAGTGCGGTGAACCACGCTTTATAAATATAGAGCACTCTGTCCCGGAGGAGATCTGAATCCGTATACTTCCGCCTGTGCAGAGATGGAGGGAGAGAAGGAGAGACAGAGGCAGCAGGGAGAGGAGAAGGAGAGCAACGAGGCCGAGGACGACAGGAGGAGCGACGAGGACGCCGACAATGACGACGAAGAGGAGGAGGAGGAGGAAGATTCGGAGGGCGCGGCCCTGGTCTGGCAGGAGGGCTACGGCGAGGACAACCTGGGCCTTCCCATCATGCACTGGGAAGCGCTGAGCCTGCGCATCGCCGAGCTGGAGAAGCAGGAGGAGGAGAACAAGGAGAAGAGGGCAAAGGTCAGTGGTCCGGGAGAGAGGAGCGTGAGGCGTTAATGGGGCACGAGAGGAGATGAAGAGGAGATGCACAAAATATACACGACAGATGGGAGAGAGGAAGAGGAAGTGATGGTGTCGATACAGATATTAATATTGAGGAAAAAGCAGTTTCTCACACACAGTAGTGGAGAAAACTGTCATCTCTGGTGTTATTGGGTTGTTCCCATTTGATGGTGAGGGGATTTAATCCTCACTGAATCACCCACCATCAAATATATGCTCTTAATATTCATTCAATATCATGACTTGGACCAAACACTTCAGAGCTGTTCGCCTCTCGGATGTTTTGAGAAATACGGCTCTGTGTCAAAAATGAAGAAACTGATCGGAGGTGAAATTCATAACAATTTGGATCATGTACCTTTTTACGTTTTTTTAAAGTTTGTCTGCTCATCAGATGTCCTGACTTTAAATGCTGATCACAGGCAGAAACACAGCTACTACCAGTCATTCATTACCACATACTGGTCAATGTGAATTGACACCTGGAAAAGTCTATTATAGTCCAATCATCAGTCCAGGGGGAAAAGAAAAACACATCTCACTCTGCTGTTTGTTTGTTGTTGTTTGTCTCAGAGTGGAGTTTCTCTGGAGAGAGGCAGAGCTCCGGTCAGCTGGGCGGAGGAGAGAGGGAGGAGAGCGGAGAGCTGGGAGGACGGAGACGATGCCTGCAACAGCCATGTGCTGGCCCTCACCTCCCGGTACACACACACACACACACACACACACACACACACACACACACACACACACACACACACACACACACACAC